TGTATAGTGGATAACGTTGGTTCCTATTATTGTAATAATCCTTTAAGTACATTTGCTAGGTTAAAACTTCCACTGTTGCATATATATATTTTTCTAGTTTTTCTTTTTTTTTTCTTTTATTATTAGTTTTATGTATAAAATCACCATCATTAACAATTATGCATGGTAAATTAGGATTTTCTATTTTTTTTGTAGATTTTTTATTTTTTTTCTTTGGAACATGAAGTTTACTATGTATAGTACAAAGGTATCAGGTTTATCTCCATTAAGATTAGTATTAACTTTTCTGTGACACATATGGCCATTTTTCTTACCTCTTTTATGTATGTAAGTGCACACATTATGCTTGTATTAACATACCAAAAATAATTATCTTTAACTTTATTAATTTCTTCATTAATTTTTTTATTCATAATCATCTTCTTACTTTCAATATCTTTAACTAACATTTCATTTTCAAAATAATTATGCATAACTTGCTCCATTAAATCTTTAATAGAACAAATCATACTATTCTTATTAATAAGAAGCTCAGTATTTAATATAACCATTTGAATTTTTTATGCCAAGTAATATTGGAGGTATTTATTTTTATATTAAAAAAAAATTCAGTTTTTTTTTTAAATAAAATTTAACAGTATGTACGATTTCAAACTCGAGAATAAAAAAAATTGTCAGTTAAGAAAAATTTAAAGAAAATTTATTAACATTGTGTTAATGTTTATTCCTCCAAGCCTTGAAAGCAACGGTCAAGGTTGCCCCAGCAGCACACAACGAAATCTTGTTCGGAACCGTTGGCAATCATTTCGATAATGGTTCCATGTCGATACAGATCCAGAAAGTCAAGAAGCGATTGCTGGATCCAGTATTGTTGTGCTTGAACGTCAGGGTCAAAGAAGCCAAAAGAAGTGATTGCCTTCCAAATGCATTTGACATATTCGTCCTCTTTGGTGTCATCGTTCTCTTCCAGTGGTTGTAACGCCATTTCACACTGCTCAAAGACTTCTTGAACAGAATCGTCCAACGAAGGGAAAACATCCCCTCCTACTGTTTCTATTTCTGCAAGCTCTTGCTTTGTTAGCAAGTCTTGCCAGCAATCATCCTTGGGATCGATTATGAATGAGTGGACGGTACTGTACATTATTCACATTTGCAAACCATTGTAAGTGTTTAATGTGGTGGGTAGTAAAAAATTTGGATGTCAAAATCTTTAGACTTACTGCTCATAATCGCACTCCATTCCGTATTGAAACATATTATCTTCCAGGTAGACTTTGGCACCGTCTTCCTTGGTGCGCAGCAACCACTTTTTCTCTTCTTCCATGCCTTCGTAATCTTTTTTGAAGCGGTCTTTTGCTTCGGCCGTCAATTCCCACGAGCTACTTTTCGATGTCTGTGTTGATGTCGTGGGTCTGCTTCTTTTCGACGAGCACTGTTCCTTTTTTTTGTTCTGTATCTGTGTTTTGATGTCGTCCCAGTCGATATTTTTCTATTTTAAATAAATCAGTAAGAGGTTGCATTTGATAAGTTTCGTGTCACTCACATCTACTATGTTGTCGACGTTCAACTGCTTCGCTACAATTTGATATCGCTTAATCCAGATACGCTTAATATCTGCGCGCAAATCAGTGTTTGCAGCTACTTCGTTACAGCGTGTGTAGAGAAAATCTCGCAAAGAGGGTTCCTTTTCCGAGGCCATGCAGATTTTGACATATGTTTCGATTGCTAAGTGCACAGCAAAGTACTTATTCTGCCCCAAATTTAACTTTGAAAGTCAGTTGGGAGAGAGTGTAAAGACAGTTGAAAAAAACATTAAAGTGTACTTGTCATCTTGTTTCCTAAGAGAATTGTATATTTCAACCATATGAAAGGTAAGTAAAGAGAGAACGGGAGGGGCAAGATCTTACCACTACAAGAGGAGGTAAAAAACAAACCACTTTTCATATAAGAAATAAACTTGGTTGTTATTATTACTTCTTTACAACTTCCTTTTTCACCTCCATTTTTGTTTTTCTTATTGTAGTAGTAAGATCTTGCCCCTCCCGTTCTCTCTTTACTTACCTTTCATATGGTTGAAATATACAATTCTCTTAGGAAACAAGATGACAAGTACACTTTAATGTTTTTTTCAACTGTCTTTACACTCTCTCCCAACTGACTTTCAAAGTTAAATTTGGGGCAGAATAAGTACTTTGATAAACAACAGAGCATCCCAGCTTCATTTCACTTCGCATGTTCCTTGAAAATTACCATATCCTGTCTCCATCGACCACGGCATCAGGGTGATTTACAAATTATCGATACTTGAACATAGTAACAAGCGCTCTAACTACATACCTTGGATACAACCTTTAAATAATCACGCTAACGCCAATGCATTACAGTATCTTTCCTGGTATATGGCACTAGATCACCGTTTTTTTATACTTGAAACACATCCTCATTTTTTACAGCAATAAATCTTCGGCAATATCATAGCTTCACCTTTTTTGCCTCGATCGATTGCTACAACTAGCACAACCATACATTATATCCCACCAATGCTTGTGCTCCGTTTGCCTTGTCGTGTATTATGGGGGCCCCGGTGCCGAGGACTTGCTCCCCGCTTCGACCCTCATTGACCCTCAGGATAATAAAGATATCGGATCTGTTCATCTTTGACGACACACATGGTTTTCTACCATAAGACAGTCCGATTTCATCTACTCGCCACTCGCTGTTTTTCGAAGCTGTACAGCTTGGCCTCATCATACTCAAATACTTTTCTAGTTGACTTTGGCCTGCCTGCATCGGACCCGTTGGATCAACAGTATCGATAGCTCGCTACCACTGAGCATGATAATATTCTGCGCCTTCTCTTAATCATTCATTTCACCGATAAAGACTCACCACTCGTACTTTTCGTCGTCTCTTTTCACCATCACACTACCCGACAATCCACTGCTAGACGTTGGTGTCAGCCTTGGCATAGTACGATGTATCATCCCGCCCGCAATAATATATGATATCTAATACTTCACCGCACGCTCTCTGGGGCTGGTCTTTTATGCCGAGCCAGATCCCAACCTCCTTCTCCATTTGTTTATAGATTTGAACTGGCCCAGTACCGCTGCTGTAACGGGCCATGTCCTCCTGACATGCTGACGTGTCCACTGGTTCTGAAGTTTTGATTGTGTTCTATACTGCACCCATTCTCTACTATGACCTATTGGTATCAAAGCTGCTTGCTTAGCTTGGCCACACCGAGGTTGCTCGTGCCATAGGCTAATAGACCCACATCTACGCCTCAATCTCTTCATTATGTTGTATACACTCCCTTTTCTCTCATCTGCAACACACCACTGCTTTATACGTGTGACCTAGTTTGATGTTTTTTAGCCTACAGCTTTATGCAAAAAATAAAAATAGGCTTCCGACCACGCGGTGGATCAGTAATGGGGCGTTCTGTACGTGGAAAGAATTTCTAACAAAAAGAGAAGGGATTCAATCGTGTGCGAACGGATTAATCTTCGATGTAAAAGCTGTCTAGAAATTGAGATATGCGATCTTTAAAACGATCGACTGTGGTGTATTTACGGTGAAGAAGAACGTACGGAGAAGAAGGGGATTGTTGGATGGTGTTTAGAGATAAAATCATGCGCTGAGAATGTTTCAGCAAACGGCGGGCACGATGTTCTTGCGACTTTGTGATGAAAGGCAAGTTCGCTTAGACGCCGGCACTGTGTGTGGGAGGAGGTGGTGATGGGGAGGTTGTTTGTACAGCCTTGCTGATAGTCCGTGCTGATGGCTGTGGGGATGGTGGAGTAGATTGAGGTTAACACTGTATGGAATGTTGTTGAGCGCGACTCCGGGTTTAAGTTATTACGACGTCGCAATACATCTATTCGTCTTCAAGCCTAATCATTGCTTAGTTGAACTTTCTGAAATATTTTTTTAGACACCAGTATAGGAAAGTTTACTCTAATATTTTCACCACCAGCAGCATACAGAGCGCGTGCAGCTTCGTTTCTCTGGGTGCGATTTTGGGGTTACAACGTCTATATCGTGACGATTGTGCGCAGCAGATCTGCGTTCTTCGCTATTCAAGCGTCGGCGCCTAATCATTTGATATTAGACGAAAAGAAAAAAACAATTTATTCAACTGTCAACTGCATCCGTCAACGCTAGAAACACATCTTCATTTAAGGATCGAGACAGTTTTGTTTGAGATTGAGATCTAAGAAAACCCTAGCACGACAGTGAAACAGTAGCAAAGGAAACCGCCAGGTAGACGTTCTACCGGTTGCCATGGCAAAGAAGCGTGACCAGATACAGATAGCACGTATTTGTATGCAATAGGGCATTTCACGCTCCTACTGACGTTGTCGCTGAGGGTGTTCTTAAAAAGGGCGCAGACAGGGTCCTGATTTAGAAGTAGGGTATTACCAAAACTGTGGTGGTCCGTACGGACATTTTGAGACCAATCTTGCAGGCGTTCGGACTATGCTATCACTATTTTCGCCATATATACCTCAAAGAAGTAGCAAAAACGTTTATTTCAGTGAGATTTATTTGTACTACTGGTACTGCAATTATAATGTACTATAGACAGGTACAGAAAAAATGATATAACTTTTCTGATTTTTGCCGTTGCATGAATGTGAGATAGCAATTTTCCTTTTCGAGTTCGGACCGTGGCGTCGTCTCAACAATAATTTGTTGAGACGACGATTCGCTCAATTTGGAAGCTTCGACCCACCTTCATATGGAAACAATCTTGCGGCATTTTAAAATTATTTCTATTCGTGGGTGCGGTGAACGGCCGTTCGCCCTTTTTGAGAACACCTTAACTTCGTACAGAACGCCCTATAAAAAAAGTATCAAAGGCTGCGCATTGCCTTTTTGAGTAAATATCGTGCCTTTAACTTGATTTTTCAGATTCGGTTTCCTGCCCTTCCAATCCACCTTTACAGAAACCTCATAATAAGGATACTTTCGTTGTTAAGGCAACCATTATTCCCATGGCAACATCTACTAGCACTGATTGCGAACTTAACGCGCAGCAATGTATGTTGAAACAGTTTCCAAATAAAATCTTTACTAATCGTACTCTGTGCACTTAGCAATCGAAACATATGTCAAAATCTGCATGGCCTCGGAAAAGGAACCCTCTTTGCGAGATTTTCTCTACACACGCTGTAACGAAGTAGCTGCAAACACTGATTTGCGCGCAGATATTAAGCGTATCTGGATTAAGCGATATCAAATTGTAGCGAAGCAGTTGAACGTCGACAACATAGTAGATGTGAGTGACACGAAACTTATCAAATGCAACCTCTTACTGATTTATTTAAAATAGAAAAATATCGACTGGGACGACATCAAAACACAGATACAGAACAAAAAAAAGGAACAGTGCTCGTCGAAAAGAAGCAGACCCACGACATCAACACAGACATCGAAAAGTAGCTCGTGGGAATTGACGGCCGAAGCAAAAGACCGCTTCAAAAAAGATTACGAAGGCATGGAAGAAGAGAAAAAGTGGTTGCTGCGCACCAAGGAAGACGGTGCCAAAGTCTACCTGGAAGATAATATGTTTCAATACGGAATGGAGTGCGATTATGAGCAGTAAGTCTAAAGATTTTGACATCCAAATTTTTTACTACCCACCACATTAAACACTTACAATGGTTTGCAAATGTGAATAATGTACAGTACCGTCCACTCATTCATAATCGATCCCAAGGATGATTGCTGGCAAGACTTGCTAACAAAGCAAGAGCTTGCAGAAATAGAAACAGTAGGAGGGGATGTTTTCCCTTCGTTGGACGATTCTGTTCAAGAAGTCTTTGAGCAGTGTGAAATGGCGTTACAACCACTGGAAGAGAACGACGACACCAAAGAGGACGAATATGTCAAATGCATTTGGAAGGCAATCACTTCTTTTGGCTTCTTTGACCCTGACGTTCAAGCACAACAATACTGGATCCAGCAATCGCTTCTTGACTTTCTGGATCTGTATCGACATGGAACCATTATCGAAATGATTGCCAACGGTTCCGAACAAGATTTCGTTGTGCACTACTGGGGCAACCTTGACCGTTGCTTTCAAGGCTTGGAGGAATAAACATTAACACAATGTTAATAAATTTTCTTTAAATTTTTTCTTAACTGACAATTTTTTTATTCTCGGAGTTTGAAATCGTACATACTGTTAAATTTTATTTAAAAAAAAAACTGAATTTTTTTTTAATATAAAAATAAATACCTCCAATATTACTTGGCATAAAAAATTCAAATGGTTATATTAAATACTGAGCTTCTTATTAATAAGAATAGTATGATTTGTTCTATTAAAGATTTAATGGAGCAAGTTATGCATAATTATTTTGAAAATGAAATGTTAGTTAAAGATATTGAAAGTAAGAAGATGATTATGAATAAAAAAATTAATGAAGAAATTAATAAAGTTAAAGATAATTATTTTTGGTATGTTAATACAAGCAATAATGTGTGCACTTACATACATAAAAGAGGTAAGAAAAATGGCCATATGTGTCACAGAAAAGTTAATACTAATCTTAATGGAGATAAACCTGATCACCTTTGTACTATACATAGTAAACTTCATGTTCCAAAGAAAAAAAATAAAAAATCTACAAAAAAAATAGAAAATCCTAATTTACCATGCATAATTGTTAATGATGGTGATTTTATACATAAAACTAATAATAAAAGAAAAAAAAAAGAAAAACTAGAAAAATATATATATGCAACAGTGGAAGTTTTAACCTAGCAAGTGTACTTAAAGGATTATTACAATAATAGGAACCAACGTTATCTACTATACACACTCAAATAATATATCTTACATAAAATAAAATAACTATACATACTTATGATATTTTATTAGGAAGGGTAGAGTATCGAGTTATCTAAGTTAACTTATTAACTTTCATATAGTTATTTAACATATTGGTTTCATTAAAATCTTTCATTGATATCCAGCTATTTTGGGATTCATTATAACCTTTCCATTTAATTAGGAATATATAGGAATCATTTTCAAATTTATGATTTATTATGGATTCTATTTCATAAGAAATATTAGAAGTTGAATTATTTCTAATTTTATTTATATCCATTAATGTTCCTTTGCCTTTACCTTTTCTTTTTCTTTTCTTCTCATTGAATTTAGGTACATCTTCTTCGCTGGAAACATCTTTATTATTATCATTTTCATCACTGTATTCATTATCAATAATCATATCAGTATTATCTATACTTAAATTATATAAAAACTGTTCCTATAATTTAACCATTTCATCTAATTTATTTTTTGCCTCAGATGAATTACTAATAACTATATCTATTAATTTAGCTTCGTGTGGAAATTCAAAATTATCTGATTCCCACAATTTATGATGTGCTTGTGTATTAATATTAAACTTTTCACGAAATATTTTTATATTTTTTAATAAACAAGCAACACGAAATTGAAGATTATAAAACTTTATGTTATCCATCTTAACAATAGATTTATTATTATTAAATCTATAAAATTTATTACCTATTGCAGCAAATTGGTCTTCTATTTTTGAACGGAAGCTACCAAAAACATCATTATAATGCCTTTCTTCTGCTGTTAAATCTACATTCTTTTCTTTGCGTATAGGATAAACAAAATTATTTAAAGATAAATCATATCCTTTTTCCGCACCAAGTTCTATAAGCTGATTAACAAATAAAGTATAACCACCATCTGTTGCCAATACATCTTGTTTAGATATTTTTTTATATAATTTCATGTTCAAAAACATACTTCCGTCAGAACTATCAGAACAATAATCGCTTTTGGAAGCATATAAAATCATATCATTAATATCGCTAACAATTTGTGTACGAACTCCATTTTTTTTAAATTTATATAACCATAATCTTTCATGTTTTATATCAGTATTAACATAGTTAATTCTTGAATCATAACCATCTATTATAAAAGTTATGTGTTTAAAAAGTGGTGGATTATATTTATAAGAAGATAAAATTCTTAAAGTTAAAGAAGAAAACATATTCTCCATAGAATCATTAACAATTTTATTTAACCTTTTATAGCTATCTTCATTCATCCAAAACGTTTTATAGTATTTGTGAAATGATGTTTGCGGGATAAACTTATTAATTTCAATACTAGAAACACTAGAAACTAAATGATATAATAAAAATAAACCTTTTTCAACTTCAAAATAAGGGCCAGGATATTCACAGCTAGTATATAAAACAACCAAAAAGAAAAAAACAGCTATATGACCAAGTTTATCTACTAAAATCTTTTTAATATCATCAATACCTTTAATATGTTTTAATTCTATACGATGCTTGTAATTATAATTAACAATTGGCCAGTTATATTCCAAAAATTCCCATTTATTAACAATAATTTTGTTAACTTCATTATTAATCTTTTCATCTATTTGTTGGTTATCCATTGTAATATATTTTTATATTTAATTAAAATTCCATTTTTTTTATATTCAATTTTAAAAAATATAATAATTTTGTAAACATGAGGAATTTTTATAAACCTTGAATATTTTGTTGACCTTAGTTTAGATGAAAAACTTCAACTAGTAAACATCCTCCTTGGGTGTGGTAGCCCGGTAAAGTATCAATTTTTGGTTCACCATTCGACTTCTCTCATTTTACTACAGTCGACCCCCGTTAACGTCAACCCTCAGGGTACCTGCAAAAGTGTTGACTATATCGAGGGTTGACGACTACCGGGAGTAGCGAGATTAGGCAAAATGTTTATCCTTGCAGACACTAAATGAATCACCGCTTCCCGCCATTATAAATAACTTATGAGCGCGATTCGTATCTCTTTTCTCTCACAGATAGTGAGATTGTTCAAACAGTGACGGCAGTTGCTGAAGATGATGACACCACAGATGTTGACGAAGAGCCAGTTCTGCAAAAAAGAAGAGTATTTACTGCTAAAGACAAAGTTACCAACATCAACACATTTCTCGATATTGTAAATGAAGAGCAAGATCTACATGATACCGTTGTGAATGCTTCTAAGCAAGCCTCTTTGACAAATTATTTTGTACCACAGTCCCAGTTAATGTAATCTAATTGGACAAGTTTCACCCTCGATAACTAGTCAACCCTCCTGAAGGTGTTGAAGTTGACCTTATGTAGAAGTTGAAGTTTTTCACTGCTAAATTTGAAAGGGTACCAGCGAATCAGTTGACGCTATCGGGGGTTGACGTTATTGGGGTGGACGTTAACGGGGGTCGACTGTACAGATTGATTATCGCAGCATGGCCCTTATTTTCATGCAGGTTTAAAAGTATTGCTCAATACTTAGTAGCGTAATATCTTACCGTTTGTATACTTTTAACACGAGGAAGGGCCAAGTTGCGATGATTTTCTTTAGTGAAATGATAAACAATCGTGAATATGTTTTTCGTTTCTTTACATTACACTAATCAGGATGGCTTATACAAATTAATAGTGATCGTACATGCCAATCAACATTAGTACGCGTCAACAGTGACAGAAAAGTCAGCGGCAAGAAACCACTTGAAGAACAAACGTCGTCGATCAGACCAGACTTCCTCGTTATAAACGACGGTCTTGATTTCGCCGTTAGTGAATGCGGTAAAGATGATGTTGGTGGCATTTCTAAAAAGGAAATCGTGGAGCGACAACTGCATGTCCCAAAGGTCATGAAGGACATTCTTCATCGAGCACTCACGAAGGGTAACCATGCAGAATCGCTTGCCCGTACGTTGAGAATAAGTGCTCTGAATGCAAACAGTAAGTTGTCAATTCTACAAATTTTCTTAATCATCCAGCCAGATCGTTAATACTTTCTAATTCAGGCACACGCGTCCAAGCCCAAGTGCTTGATTGTCCGAAAGGATACATCTGCCGTTTGATGTCTAGCAATGAATACCAACTCCCGCAAAAAGCAGACATGATTTCGGCACAGCTTTTCCCGTTGATGAAGCTGACATTACAAGTGAAGGTATGTTGTCTTACAGTGAACCCCCGCTTTTTGCAACAGCGGGAATACCGTCAAAAAAGTTGCAAAATCTGAGGAACTGCAAAATGTGAATATGTTACACAAGTGGGATCGATAAGCTGGCAATCACATCTTTCCTTATTTAGTTTAAAAGCTCTTAAATAATAGAATAAAATAGTGTATCTCTTTTGTCACTGGTTTCGAGTCTCACTGTCTCTGAAGTTTGAGATTAATATACAATATATAAGGCTGAAGCAGGAAATTGCAGGTCCCGATTTCCAAGTTGCAATCTGCAAAAACCGAGGAATCTGCAATTTTACTAAGTGTTGAGCGGGAATCTGCTCAAAAAAGTTGCAATAAGTGGGGATCTGCAATAAACGGGGGTGCAAAAAGCGGGGGTTCACTGTATATGTACTTTGCAAGGTCAATTTAACATTGATATTATAGCCACTGACATACACAATTGTCTATAATAGGCAATCACCAAGAGCACTATCAAAGCATTCAAGAAACATCAACGTGCCCAGGCCAAGAATGCCAAACAATCAGTTTTTACACTTAATTCACCATCAGCTCTCGAAATACCCCCTGCATTCACCATTCCTACCCTGAAAAAATCAAAAACGAACAACATCTAGCAATGTCATAAACAGCGCGCAATGCACGCACACACACACACACACTCACGCACACAGCACGCAACGCACACGCAACGCACACAACGCGAACAACGCACACGCACACACTCATGCACACAGCACGCAACGCACACGCAACGCACACAACGCGAACAACGCGCACAAAACACAACACGCACACAACGCGAACAACGCACACGCACACACTCACGCACACAGCACGCAACGCACACGCAACGCACACAACGCGAACAACGCACACACACACACTCACGCACACAGCACGCAACGCACACGCAACGCACACAACGCGAACAACGCGCACAAAACACAACACGCACACAACGCGAACAACGCACACGCACACACTCACGCACACAGCACGCAACGCACACACAACGCACACACACACACACACACACACACAACAACGCAAACAACAACAACACACACACACTCCGCATCACACTTGTTCTCTTTACATGAGTAACTCTATTTTGTAACTTTTTATTTCTATACCTGTTGTAGTGAAACATGCTTAGTGGTATTCTATCTCTTTTTCTTTTTTGCACCACTACATACAGTAAAGCAACTGTTTATTTTTTACAAAGAAAAAATACGGGTCACCATATTTTTGTATCCTCGTTGTATATTACTATCCTTCAACCAACCGGTCTCGTGTTATCTTTTGTAATCTTTTTCTTTAAGAAAAGGATATTACCGATATAATTGAAATGACGGTATGCCTTTCTATAGAGAGGAAAGCACGGATTATGCGATATCATGTAAAATGCAGTGTAAAGTCCGAAACGAAAAAGGTATTACTGTATGTAGTAGAATAGGATACGCACATAACAAGTCTTGAGAGTTTAGTAATCCCAAGAAGTAATCCAGCGATGTGGAGACTCAGAGATACTTGCATCCTTCGTGTATAAACAATGGCAGAAACGAGGAACGTTGCGTGGTCCGTGCTCATATCATTATCGGTAACAAAAATTGAACAAGGGGGCCGCTTCTTATGCAGTGCATCTTCCAGCGGAAGATGCCGAAAGGACGATGAAAATCATAGCACACAACAGCTAATTCGGCTTCGCAAAAAAAGCTCTTGTATCCATACATTTAGCATTAGTAAAACAGCACTTTTAATATCATATTTTCCGTGTACATATGATTTTGTCTTCGTACACTTAGAAAAGCGTATGTCTATTATTATGTCGTGTTTTGTAGGCGAAATGATATTGGTGTGTATATTCCGGGATAATGATATAGTATGTAGTTTCAATAGCAACAACGCAAGAAAAAAAGATGAGTAGAGATAAGCTTACGCGTTGTTAGGCAACAGCTTCACCGGATTAGCCCATTGACAACACTAGTTTATTGTATATACTGTTTCATTGATTAGTCACCCAGCTGGGTTTGGTTGCTCTTTTTTGCTGGATGCATTGTTTTTAAATAGTCCTGCACATGTGAATATTTAGTGCTGACGAAATAGGCTCCACGTAAGAGAAGCTCCTATGTATTCTCTACATTACCCTCTTGTAACATGATGTCAAGAGAATGTAGACAGCTTATGAGGATGGAAGGAAAAGGTAATAGGTAATTGTTCGCTGAGTATGGAGGGATGATTGAAAATTATATATAATGGAAGAAGAAAGACAAACCCCATGGAACGATTGAAATGTATGTAAGAAAAACAAAACTTGTCATGCATGAAAGACGCCACCAAGACACGCCATGATAGTAATTTTGCACATAACTTACGGGCAGTAAAAGTAACATTGAGTGTTCATTGAGATTTTGAACGTGAACACAAACGTGATCTTTGGCATAGGGGGGATTTTGTCATGCCTGTAAATGAACATTATGGCGCCTTGAGCTACCACTAACACCAAAGTAACTTTTTGATATGAAGGCTAGATGTCACAGCACTAGGCTATATAACATCTTATTTTTTTATTGATTGTTGATATGACGCTTAAGACCTTTACAGTCAACCCCCGTTTTTTGCAGCCATGGGATTTCGGGAGATTAGGCTGCAAAAAGCGAGAGGCTGCAAAATACGAACGCGTTACACAGGGCAAAATTTAAAGCCGTGAGCTGTCATTAATTATACACCAATGACAGGGTTACTGTAGTAACTGAGAAATATAGTACTGAGACCGACCCAGTTTGTTTATTCCTTTCTCTTCCCCGTTTTCTACTATCCTTAATGCCACCAAAGGCTGATTACATAAAGTTTACCAAAGATCAAACCAATGAGATACAGTAATAAGAATTCAATAGAACATCTTGATATTAAATTTTTTATCTCAGATAGCTGATAAGAATATATAGATGGTCGGATAAAATAATCGGTGTATATGCTTAGTGGGAATTTGCAGGGCACCTTTTTTGACCTGCAAACTGCAAAAAGCAATTTTTATTAGTGAAAAATGGGATTTATCCAAAGTTTGCTGCAAAAACTGAAGGCCTACAAAAAGCGGTCGTGCAAAAAACGGGAAAGGCATCCCGGCAAATGCCAAATCGTCAACGGCGACCCCAGCACCAACTGCCGTCTCTATGGAGAGAGCATTGAACAGGTTGCCTGGTTTAACTATCTCGGCATACCTTTCTGTTCTACCGGCATCGAAGTCTCCTGTCTCATCAACCACAACTGTGATAAACGTGGGTTGTGGATAGAGTAAAAGATTGAATAAGAGATAATATGAAAATACAGTGAGAGTCAAATATCCGATCATTTTTATTGAATGAATTCACAACCCTTTATATACTGTTGAAGATGGTGTCTAGACTTCCGTTTGGATGAACTGATGAATGGATCGCGGACATGCCGGATTTCGGATGTTTCAAAGATGAAGAAGGATGGGAAGGTTGAGTTTGTCGGCCATGATAATGGACGTTGTCTTCCGATTGTAAAGAGTCATCTTTGCCGTGATCAGTGTGTTCCTTGTTTGGCGAAGTCTCACCTTTGTCAGTGCTGGACTTGGTATCCGCTCTTTGACAGGTACACTTCGCTTAACTCAGATAAGCTAGATTCAAAGGAAGTGCTGACTAACTCGAGAATAGGACAATGTGTATACAATGGTTGGTCCTGAGTTATTCTCTATTGGTAATCCATGTTTGAGAGATTATCGATATGGTGCTAATTATGTAATAATTGATTCATCCGTGTGTGTGGTGTTCTCTCTACTGCGTTCTAATGGTTACGAAGACGGCGGAGTGGGGTGAGTTGTCCGGATCAATCTCAAGTAGTGTGGTTTACCACATTACCCCCTTCCAGGTTAGATTATAACCGTTTGTCTTGAGAACTAATGGAAGTTTAAAACTTCATAACGGCGAGCTTTTAAGCGTTTGCTTTGACGTGATGGACGTGTAGACGTTGAGGGCCGCGTTGCAGTACCACGTTTCGATGTGGATCGTGTCGATCGTGCGGATCGTTTGGATGGTTGTGCAGAAGCAGTTATTGCTTTGTTCTGCATTGTTGGTGTAACAGTACCAAGCCGCGTCCAGTACTCAGCTATGCGCTGTGGGCTACTGAACTTATCAGGAGGGAGCCAGCTGTCATCTTTTTCATCATAGCCTTCCCATCGAATTCTGTATAGGTAATTTCCACCTGACAGTTCTTTGTGGTCTACTACTGCTTGAACAGTGTACCAATTTTTTCCTTCTTGGCGTATATCATCAAGTGAAACAATTTCGTCTTCGGAAATTAACTTGAGTTGTGAAGGAGGAAAGTCTCTAGGCATTAAAAGTCCTTGTTCATCCATAAGAACGTATGATCCGCCTTTTGTTTCCCTGACTACGGTGTATGGTCCTTCATAAGCTGGAGCTAATTTCCCACCGCGTTTCATATCCCTAATCATCACTTTGCTGTGCGTGGGAAATTTTACTAATCTGTACTTTTTGTCAAACTTGCCCTTCTTTAAGTTGTTTTTGGCTTGTACTCTTTCAGCGATAGCTGGGAATACAACACCTGCCATTTCTTCAATGCGTCCTAATAGCTCATCATTTGTCATTGGCCTCAGAACATCATCGTTGGCATAATTTTCAAAACCATTCATTGCTCGTGCAAACATTAGAGTGTAAGGTGAGGACCCATGTAGCTCTGTTAGTTTGGCGTTGATGGTGAGTTGTGACACCGGGACGTACATATCCCAATCACGTATAGCGCCTTTGATCATTTTGCGTAGCATGTTGACCGCTGTTTGTACGTGGCGTTCGGCTAAGCCATTGGCTCTAGGGTGAAACTTCGTGACTAGGCGATGAGAGAACCCTGCTTTCTCTTCCATCGTTTTCATCAGTTGGTTCACGAATTCCGTACCATGATCAGATTGCAAAAACCGCGGAAAGCCATAGTTACAGAATACGTCGACAACGACGCTCGTAATGGTTTCTTGTGTTTTGTCGGGAATGGCGCGTAGAACAGTGAAACGTGTGCAGACGTCGACCATGACTAGTAAATAATTATTATTTCGATTGCTTGTCTCTAACGGACCAGCTAAATCAATGCCCAGTGGTCACCTAGAAGGTACGCATAAATAGGGCGAAGAGGGTGATAACCCTTTTTTACAATATTGTACTTTTGACACTCTGAACATTTCCGAACGATTTCGACCGCGTCTTTATTTATAGCAGGCCAGTGTATACCGTCCTCATGCAGTCGCGCAGTCATTGCTTCTGAACCAAAATGGCCGAAGGAATGTGCTGTCAGTAGTAAATCTTCGCGTTCGTTTTCTGGTGGTACTAGCATTTCCTGTAAATCAGCACTTGTATACGCTCGACGGTTGTATAAATGTCGGTTTTTTCTTATGCGTGGTGCATTACCCCCTTCCAGCTCTTTCTCAGTATGAAAAAGGCGAGAAAGTCGATTGGGGAGGATGTTATCCAGACTGGGTAGATGAACGATGTCGAAATTATATTCAAGCAATGTATCCAACCAGTTGATCATCATAGGATTGGCGATTTTTTGTGTATGCAGATACATAAGAGCTTTGTGGTCC